TTTTGGTTCAACGCATCAAGACATCAAGGCGTTGGGCCATCTAACCCCCAGGACTCAACCACCTGTTCTTGTCCACGTGCTTCTCGAAGCACACATGCAGCAGCTCAAAGACAGTCACAATACGCTGGACACTGGTTTCGAAGAGTCGAACAGGCACCTCATGGGCGACACCACGAAGGATACACCTGTTCGACACCAAACTCGAAGCCCGACTCGAGCAGCATCACGATGAACATATGCAGGAGATCCGGAATTTCCACGAGATAACTACCGCCTTGGAATCCCGAGCCGACGCAGGTGGCGTCGGCTCCAAGCGCGCACGCAGCGAAGGTCTCAATTTCTGGGCGACGCGCACCGACGACTCCGACAACAAAGTCCTCGCGCTCAAAAGTTTCACATTTCCCATGTGGTCCAAGACTTTCTGGTCGCTCTCACCGAACCCCCCGCTCCCCCAGATCCGCGCCGCCAGCAACACCCAGCGCACGCGCCTCATCGTCAACGCCTCAGTTTCGGCGAAAGCCGTCCTCGAAGAGTTCGCCCGCGCTGGCCCACGGATTACGATTGGTTCGGAATCTTTGCCGCTTCCAGATCAGCGGCACCGGTCACCTGATGAACACGACTGGGGATCTGCGACTTCAAAGTGATGGCAGAAGCTGGAGCAGGCCCACGGGAGGGGGCAGGGGGAGAGTCAACCCCTCCCCGAAGGGGAAGAAACCGGGTTGGAGGAGGAAGCTCCCTAGACCACCAACGCCCAGAGGGCTGGTGGGATTCGATGAATTCACGGGGTTCACGAGTCCCCAATCGCCCCCTCCATTTTTTTTGCGACGGGGGCCCCCCGCTCATGAACGCGGGCGCGCAGGAGGAGCGAGACGTCTCCAGCGCCATCGGAGCACCGACCCCCATACTCCCAGCACTACTCGAGCAACTTGTCTGGATGCGTCTGGAACGCTCGCGGATTGCGCTACGTCGACCATGCCCGCCGCGAGCAGAAATTCAAGTACGCCGTGAAGCTCAGCCATCGCCGCGACCCCGCGCTTTTCCTCGAGGCGCATCCGGCCCCGTCGAGACGCCGGACCCTGGCGAGGAGACTTTGCCGGGAATCTCGCACCGATTGGCCTGGCTCCGATGCGACCCCCAACCCCGGTGGGATAGGCGTCGCCCTCGAGCGCGACTTCTTCGCCAGTTTCGCCTACACCGCTATTTCCAGCACTATGCCAGGCCGTCTCAGTACACTCGCACTTCTCGGGGCAAAGGGCACCTTCATCACCTGCGGCGAGAATGATGAAGGCGACGCGCCGAGGGCCCATAATAGAGTGTCTGGCCAGAATCAGCTGCTCCGGCTTTGGAGCCGCGCTCATCATTCTAGGGAACTCCACGTCGATCGCTTCCACGAACAACCGCTTCAACGGCACCCTCGGTGGCTTCGCCAACGCACCCCCCCAGCATTTCTTCGACAGGCACAGTTGCACGGAGCGCTCCACTGAAATAGAGCAACCCGACTTCACTTGAAGGGGCGCCGACGCAGCCGGGCATCGCCAATTCAGCCTCATCGGTCGCCGCTTCACCACGTGGCCAACTCCTTTATTGAGCGGCCTGGAGGTCAGAGTAGCGTCGCCTGGGTTCGCTGCCCTCCCGCGCTCCGATCTCAGCGACCACGCGCTCGTTGTCTTCGGTTGGAAGGCGAAGATCTCGCTCGCTCGCGCCCATGAAAATCGAAGCGGGTTCCTCGGCATCCTCTCTGGGCGGTGGTGCTCGAGGATGTGCGGTCCCAGCTGGCTGGGCCATCATGGAGCGCTGAAGCACGTTTAAGGATGCTCTTCCGCACGGCATCCCAGGAAATCAAGCGACGCGCCCAACACTATGGCGCCGACACCTCGTAAGAAAAATACGGGGGCGTCTGAAATCATCGCGGGCCGCCCACCGCGGAAACACCAAGCGGGCGTTGACCGATGCCTCTGATAGGGCCGAGGTCCACTGCATCCCGGGCAACTACTGCTCACGGGAGCGGCCCCCCGAGATTCGCCAGCATCGAGGTGTTCGCCCAGAGTTTCAGCCAGAAGACCGCCGAAGACCGGCTGCGCGAGCTAGAGGAGCGCAGCGTTCTGCTGGACTGCCACAAGAGCCGGAAGCGCGCAGGCGCACCATCGCGGATCGCGCAGCGCTGCCCGAGACAGCGCCGAACTGGCTGGCTGGGCTTGCGGGACACCGACGGCCCGCCCATCGCAGACGCCGCCCGCTCGCGCGCTGCTGCGCCGAGCCATCTGGGGCCCTGCGTTTGCTGCGCGGCCCGTCGATGATATCGCCGCCCGCCGAGCCCTCGAGGAACGCGCCGTCGCCCTCCCGAACATCCAGCGGGCATCGGTCTCCCAGAGTTTTCGCGGTGCTTCGTGGATTGGTGGATTCTGCCTCTGGCCGAGCTGGCGCCCCCCACTGCGCGCGGAGGCGCGCGCCAGAGTGGCGCCAGCGAGTCCTTTTCAACGCCGTGGCCGACTGGCTTACTGGGTCGCCTTTTACCAGAGGAGGCCAACAGCGCTTGGCTGGCACTTCTAACACACGCACCTGATTCTGCGGCGAGTCCCCCTAAGTTTCAGGCTTCTCCAGGACACGCGCTCTCTCTTTAGGCAGCGCAGACGTTAGGATCATCGACAACCTGCAGCCAACCCCTGGGCAGCGAACGCCCAGCGTGGATCTATCCAGGGACGCCAGACATTGGACCATGCGTTGGAGGTCGAGACGCACGCGGCAACGGCCGCCATCTCCTGCGACACGACCAACGCCGCCGATCCACCAAAATCGCTGGCTACAGACACCCTGGCATGCTTACTGAACGATTTCGGGGTTTCTTTTGTGCCAAGCTTGTCAATGTGTTATCTTTGGATGGCATTGGAGATCATCGGAGCGCTCACCAGAATGCAATCCAGCAAGTGTGCGCTCGCAACTGCTTTTTGTTTTGAAAATTCGGTGGCACGGTATTTCTCGCATGTGAAAGAACTTCAGGAGCGAAGCAGGGCTGCTCTCTCAGCCCTGCTCTCCTCGCCATCACCTTGGACCCGCTCCTACATGCGAGGTCGCCCCGCTTGAGCGCGAAGTCGTTGGCCCTGGCACTCGCGGACGATATTGCTATCGCCCTCGCCCACTTGTTCGCGGAGGGACCAGCTGTCAGTTGGTTGTTCCGCAAGTTCGCGAGCAAGTCGTATCTTCGAAGCAAAGCGCGTAAATGTGTCATCATCCCTCTGCGGAGAATCTCTATGCATCGTTTTGCCCGGCTGACCCAGGAGCATATTGCGGAGTGGCCATTTCGAGAAAGCGCCATCTGATAAATCGTTGATTTCTTGTTTAAGGTCCAGCGCCGGCGCTTCTTAATCAAGTATATTTCAAAAATGGAGTGGACATGCGACCTTTGTCTTGGACTTCCTGCTTCAGCATGGTTGCGCAATTCCTTCGCCATCTGCGCGATGAGTTTCGCATTGCACCTGGTCGCTCCTACAAGTGGCCTGCTTGCCACAGAGCGCAACATGCTGCGCACACTGGTCCGCGGGCGAGTATCACCTCGACGCCATCGGACGTCCTGCCCCCGTTCCGCTCGATCTCCGCCCCGCACCTCGCAGCTGCTGGGAGGACAACGCGAGGCTGCTACGGGGACAACGACGACAAGACAATGGTGAATAACACGTTTTTTTTTATCTGAGGCCCGAGAAGTCCCGACCGCTTCCCGGGGGTAGTTTTTCGTCCGAGATCCGAAAGCGGCCCGAAAGCGGAGGCCGAAGTTCAGGAGAAACGCTTGGCGCGGAAAAGACGGGAATGGTCGGAGAGCTGGGCCTTCTTCGTGGCGGACCCCTGGGGGTCTCGACCCCTCCGCGGGGACCGACGTTCCATCCCGGGCCGCTCTTCGAAGGCTCTGGGGCCCTGCGAGGGAGCCCCAAGAGGCCGCGGCGGACTGCAAAAGACCACAACTGTCGTCGCAAATCCGGGAGCGGCGGAGGCGACTCAAAGAAAAACCAGTCTCGTGTAGCATCCTGGCTCTCCTGACCTTTCCGTTGGCTCTTGCTCCGCGGCGCCTGGGCGAAACCATCTGCAGAGGACCAGTCGTTGGTACAATGGCGAACATAGGTCGCGAGGCACTCGCCCACCGGTCGCCCCACGGAGGCTGCGCAGAATCTGTTGTCGTGGGAGGGAAAACAACCCAGACCCCCGCAGGCATGACTTTTTCGTGACGTCCACCCCCAGGGTTCCCCGTGGCCGTGTTTTCATCCGGAGTCGTTCCCTGACGGTCCCGAGGCCAGGCGAGGACCCCCAGGGGCCGAAAGTTGTGAAAAAAAATCCCGTCACGATTCCTTCGTTTTCATGGCGCCAACCTCGCAAAGCGGATTCCGTTCGGAAAACGATAGGATGGGCCCGGAGTGTCCCGGAGAATTTCGTTTCGGAGAGGTGAATTTCGCGCGGATTTGTTCTGGACAGGAATGAAGACTAAACAAAAATCCACGCGAAACGCACTCCGTTTTTCACGCGCCGCTTCGGGCAGAAATCCACGCAGAAGTCCGCTGCAGCACGTCTGCAAGGCCGGCGCAATGATCATTACCCTAGGAGTCAACTAGACGTAAGAGTGACCCTTCGCCGGAGTGACCTTCGGTTCGGGCCAGATGGGTCTCCTTGGTCGCCAAACGCGATACGATAGCAGCGTCTTGCGCGCTTGTGTTGGGCCCCCCCGCGGTCCCAGAAAGCCGCGCACCAAAGGCCACTCTTACCCAGGGTCACTCTTTTAACGGGCGTAGAACGGTATAAAATAAACTGTTTCGCTGTCGGGGGCGCCTGTCCCTGGGCGGCTGGAAAGTTTATACCCCTACGGTGCCACTGTAAGGGTATAAACTTTCCAGCCGCCCTGGGGCAGGTGTCCCCGACGGCGAAAAAGTTTATTTTATACCGTTTTTCGCCCGTTAACTCTTGCGTGTAGCCGAAGGGGGCGTGGGAATCCGTGAGCGACCCGGGCGGCGGCCCGCGAGGCTCGGCGCCGACCTCCGCGCGCGCGACGGGCGCGGCCGCACGCCCCTCGACTGCGCGCTGGCGGCGGGGCACCGGGGCGCGGCGCAGGTGCTGCAGGCCGCCCGGGGCGGGTCGCCCTCGGTGGGGCAGAGGGTCGTCGTCGTCGTCGTCGTCGTCGTCGTCGTCGTCGTCGTGGTCGTGGTCGTCGTCGTCGTCGTGGTCGTCGTCGTCGTCGTCGTCGTCGTCGTCGTCGTCGTCGTCGTCGTCGTCGTCGTCGTCGTCGTCGTCGTTGGTCGGGGAGGGAAATGCTGCACGTCAAGCACGACCCGGACCTCCTGAGGGGACCGCGGGTGGTATTGCGGGGATAGCCCAGAGACCCGACGCTCCGAAAACAGTGGAGCGGCGGTCTTCGGCCGTGTTCGGCCTCTGGGGGCCTTCGCGGGGCCTCGGGACCGCCAAGACAAGATTCGGGAATACAAACCGGCCCTGGGGAAGTGGTCCAGACCTCCGGGGCCCGCGCATCGAAAAGATTGGAGCAGCCAGATGTCTGGGAAGGGGGTTACGAGCGGATGCTGAGGCGGGCTGTTTTTAGCGTGCGTTTGCCCAGAAGTTGATTACAGGTGCCCTCAGTGGCGTGGGTGGGTTCGATAACTGCTAAGTGGGCGCAGCCCACTTAGTCCAGCTCTTCAACCACTGAGGGCATTTTTCAACCACCTATGAGCTACGTATGTTAGGCCATGTCGACGCCACCTTTCAGCATCCACGAATCACCTCCCCATCCCCTTCGCAATCCCCGTCGTCATCCAAGTCCGCCGAGCTGAACAAAAGCAAGGCAATGGGTTTCGCCGTTCTCGGCCTCTGGGGGCCCTCGCCAGGGCCAGGGGCCGTCCAGAAACGGTCCAGGACGAGAAACCGGCCCCCGGGGAAGTGGTCCAGAGGTCTGGAGCCCCCGTGTTGCAAAAAACCGAGGAAGCGAGAACGGCATAGTACGCTCGAGGCGCTGAAGTAAGCACCATCTGTCACCAGCCAACATAGGTCATGGAAATGAATGGACGCGCATTCTTGAAACACATCTTTGGTAGAAAAACAATGATGTACTAAAGCGAGAAACGGATTTATGCAATTGCGCCGCCTCATCAAAATAAGACAATCCATCATTTGGTAAACGGACAAGCCGGTCTACTAAATTCCACAGATGTTCTAAATCCTGGGCCGTTTTTCTAAATCCCAGATCCCATCATTACAGTGGGGGCGCGTATCAAGAAACCATATGTTTCTCGTCAGGGTATCCTGGGTTTCTTCGCTCCTCGCGCTGCGCGGTGATTTCCCGCAGCCGCTGAGGGAGCTGCTGCGCTCAGGGTGCTCCGAGCTTCCCCTCAGGTGCACCTCCCGCACGGTTTCTCAGGGCTTGGTTTCTCGCGAGGGTTCCCTGCGGCCGCGCCCGCACTGCACAACGACCCAAGTGGCTCGATCTATTTGGTAAACGGACAGGCCGGTTCACGAAATTCCAAGGAGGATGCTCTAAATCCAGGGCCGTTTTCCTAAATCCCAGATCCCATCACTCTGGACGCCCGAAATGGGTACGGAAAGAATGGGTACAATGCCCAACAGCAGTTCCTATTCGTTTTGAACAGGACTCGCTGTCCGCGCCGCCGCGGCCTGCGTCCATTCGAGACAGAAGGCCGCCTGCCCAACAGCGGCCGCTGTTGGTTGGGGACAACATTTGTTGTTGGGCATTGTACCCATTCTTTCCGTACCCATTTCGGGCGTCCAAAATCACTGCCATGACCCAAGTGGCTCGATTTGGTCGGGGCTCAGGGGGGACTCTGGTCTGCGGGCCGTTCCCGAGGCCTGGGTCGGGGGACCCCCGCTCGTGCCCGAGGCTCGCCCGTGGCCAGGCAAAAGCCTTTTTTTTGTTCGCTCCTCGCTGAGAGCCCCCCCCTTCTGGCAGCACGAGGGCTGCTTTCGGACAGGGCTGGACCTGAACGATGTTTTGGCGATCTCGTGGGACGTTTTCGTTTCGACTTCGGTGAAGGCGTATCGAAGACAGGACGAGGGAAAACGAAGACAAAACGAAAACGAAAAACACCGTTTAGGTTTAGCCCTGCTTTCGAAGGGCCTTGTGGATTTTTCTCGCATCGGCGGTGGACCCCCCCGCGCCGCCCGTGGTCCGGCGCCGGTCACAGAGGTCTGCGCGGGCCTCCGAAAGTTAATGGTCGTGCAGATGCTCCTTGTGACCCAGAGGGTATTACGGTAGGTTCGTGTCGTGTCGACCGGCGGCGACCCCAGCGCGGGCGTTCAAGGTTGAACGCCGCCGGCGACCCAGAATCGGTTGATGTTGACGGATCGGACGTCTCGGAAAGGGCCGATCGTTCAAGGTTGAACGATCCCCGAGGTGACAGAAACCATCGTTGGGGTCGACACGACGCAAACTTGCCGTATTTCGGTATTTGTGTTTGTGCTTCTGGTCAAGAGGCACCCCCTGCCTTCGAAGGGCCTTCATGGAAGCCTCCGGCGCCTTCTTAGGGGATCTCCTGCCAGCTTCGTAGAAAGCCGCTCCCATCGCGCCACCCCCCCTTCTGCGCGCCGCCGGCACCCACAGCAGCACACCAACCTCCAGGCACCGCGGAGAAAACTCGGCGGGCGTCTTTGCAGATTTGGATCGAGCCCCCGATCCCACAATAGCACTGTAGATGCGCAGCTTCCGCAGCTTCCGGGTGGTGCTCAGGAGGGGACCACACACACACACACACACGCAGTGAACCGTCGACTCCCAGGAAGGTGTTGGAAAATATGGGGGAAGTGGGGGGAAGAGGAACACCCAGAAGATGTAGGAAAAGATTGGGAATCCAGGGTTTTGTGTATCTATTTGTTTGTGTGTGTGTCCCTGGGTCCCCTTTGGGTACGGGCGAAGGGCACCTCGTTTGTGTGCCCGCCCGTCGACCTGTCTCTCGCTGACGGTTGGCCGAGGCAGTGCATTGCCAGGCTTGGTCCTGGCAGTAAAAGTCCTCCTGTGCCTCCTCCTCCTCCTCCTCCTCCTCCTCCTCCTCCTCCTCCTCCTCCTCCTCCTCCTCCTCCTCCTCCTCCTCCTCAGCCGCCGCTTCTGCTCAAGCCACCTTTTCAGCGGCCCAGCAGGCATCCCGCGCAGAGCAGCTCCGCCCGCCAGGGCGCCTTCCATGACATGCCAGCCTGGCTGGCCTCCATATTCTTCATAACGATCTGGATCGTTACGCCGTTCCTCAGTGGGGGAGTATATTATCCAATCTCGCTGCTGGAGCTGCATCGCTGCCTCGTGCTCAGTCACACCTACAGCGCCGTGAACGAGAAGTTGCTCCCAGCTACGCGTTGGCGACTGCACGACGCCAGCTCAGAAGTCGACCAGTTCAAGACTCTCAAGCACGAAGTCTACACGTGGGACTATGGCCGCGCACCGTTCGCCAATTGGCATGCTGGCAGAGTGATCATGGTGAGCTACCAGCGGTTCGGTCCGCCAGCCGTCGTCGACATCAAGAGCCCGCCCAAGCAGATACAAGGAAGCGCAGGTGCTCTCCGCTGCCCGCAGGGCGAGCTCGACCTCGCCTTCCTCGTGGCCTACTTCCCGCCTCGCTCGGGGCTAGCGGCAAAGTGCATCCACTGGGTCAACACGGTCAAAGAAACGCTCAAGTGGATCAACAGGACGCTTCATGCCACACCGACGTGCAGCACACCGTCGATAGGCATTGACCTCAAAGTTCTTCAGGCTGGAGCTGATGGATTCATTGCTACTGAATTAATTGAAGCCTTCGAAGACTCGCCACTACACGGTCGGCCAGGTGAAGCAGCAGTTTGCGATTGCCTGCTGGACGTTTACGGATTTTGCCTCCCCAATACCTTGTGGATGGCCGGCCCTACCTATTCTGGTGCTGCAGGACAAGCTACGAGACCTGATTGCCTCGTGGTTCCTCAAGGGCTATTGCAGAGTCCCCAGATCTGCGGTATTTGGTGGAAGGCAGGGAAAGCAGTTCAGCAGCTCAAGGATAGCGTACCGTGGGACCACGAGCCACTCATCGCCAGGGCCGACATCGGCATGCCCAACATCGTCTCTGGCATTCTTCAGCCGTCTTGGGATTGCGACAAAATGGCAGAGTCTCTACCGACTGGTGATTATCACAACGAGTTCATCTCAGCCATAGCGACCGCGCTGGAGAACTCCACAGATACCTTCCACGAGTTCAACGAGCAGGGCTCCACTTACGCCTACTGGAAGATTCTGACCGACAGGCTCAAGATCACAGCCAAGTTCTACTTCGAGAGAAAACAAAAAAGCCTGGCATCAGCAAGCAGCTCATGGCAAAGATGCTCGTCGAGCTTCTGAGGAAAAGTGCAGAGCTACGCAAGCAGTACATCGGCGCAGGGATCGACCGTGACATTGGAGAGAAGCTGGGCACACTCACGACAACTATCAATAATCAGAAGCAACTTCACGACGCAGCACGCAAGAGAGCATCAGAGGCACATATTCCTGAGCAGCACGCTGAAATACATCGCCCCAGCAGGTGCATGGCAGGCACCTAGCATGGCAAGAGGAACCGCTACTACTACAGCAGGGCAACCCGTTCGAGACCGAGCCGCACCGAGAGGACTACGCACGGTGCACTCAACGGCGCACAAGGAGGATTTCAGGCTCAACCCTCCGACTTCGAGGAAGAGAAAAAGCTGCTCTTGGCCGCCTGCGAGGTCCGCGACGACGATGCCAAGCAGCAGCTCATGGACGAGTATCACGAGAAGAAAGAGAACTTGGGCATCCCTTGCTTCGGAGTCAAGACGCGGCCCAAGTACCTCACAAAACGAGCTCTAGATCCCGAATGGTCGTTGCCAGCTGACATTCCCCAGATCATCCTGCAGCCTACAGCTTCCACAAAGAGGAAGCCGCAGACCCAAGGCCTCGGTTACTACGAGGAGCAGATGGAGGCGCCGCGGACAGTTCTACGGCTCGAAGGGCTACTCCATCATGTCTACCGGGTCGGCTTAGCTCCATTGGACGCTCAGTACAGCTCATGCCTCACGCTCGATAAGATGAACGCCGAGCCCTCAGTTCAAGGATCGCGCACACTGCACATGTTTTGTCCACTTAGGCG